TCCTGCTCTGATTTGCTGTTTTGTGCGTGGGCCAAGAGGGGCTCCACGAGAACGATCACTGGCCCCAGCAATAATAGTGATTCATGTTCTGAATGTTTCAGCAGAGTAGTACATAGATACATATATATATATATATAATGGTAATAATGAACCGTGTGTGAGTGTGTGTGCAGCGGAGGACATTTGGAGGTGAGAGACGGGCGTTCGTGTTAGTTTGTTTTTGAAGATTTCTCTTTCATGTTGGGTTCAGGTGGAAGCTCTAAGGTCTGATCAGTGACGGAGCGACTCCTGTGAGGACCAAGCAGACCTGTGAGGGTCCCGGAGAAGAAAAAAAGGGAATTTTTCTGGCAGTATTGTTTTTCTGTGTGTGTGTTTGTACGATTCATTTTCTTTTTATTCAGTTTTCATCTTCCGTCTTTGATTTTTGTCGTTATTCGTCCTCCCCGCTCACCGGACCTGAAAACATTTCACCCACCCGAGAGCTTCCTCTCTGGTTTTCTTTCCTGCTCTTCCTCACGCTCTCGTTCTCTTTCTCTCTCCATTTCGTTTTGGAAAACGGCGTCTGCTGAAGCATGCGGGCCCTGCTGTGCACGGCCGTGCGTGGGTAACAAAAGGATGTAATATTTATTAAAGGAGGGAGAGAGGGATGAGGAGCAGAGATGGGAATGTACTGTAAAGATGTGATTGTACACCATGCTATGGAGAGAAATGAAAAGCTCTAAACACGCAACAACGCCTCACTTTTCTTTGAGTCTGTGTTTGTCTCCTTTGGCTTAATCCGTTTTGGTTCACAAATAAAGTTCCTGCAGTCTTCTCCAACCGAAGAAAACCTCCGTCAGTGCAGGTAGGACATGTTGAAACATGGGTCTCATCTTTCCCCGCACCATGTCGTCCCATCCCGGGAATATCTGAGCTCCCGTGCTGATGATCGTTGAAACAACAGTCGTGCAAACACAGTGAGGATAAACCAGGCTTTGCTCTGCTGTAATGCCTCTTTGCACCACTAGAAGGTGCAGTTAGTCTGTGTGACTTTTGCTTAACCACTTTATTTACAGTGGGGGTGGGCGCTAAAATTAAACAGACAACATGAAGTCAAAGGAGCTCTCCATGCAGGTGAAACGAGCCACCTTTAACCTGCCAAAGCAGAAAGAACCCACTAGAGAAATTGCTCCAATATTAGGATTAGCAAAGTCTCAGTTTGGTACACCATGAGACCGAAAGACAGCACTGAACTCAGCAACGCAAAAAGTCCTGGATGTCCACAGAAGACCGCAGTGGTGGATGATCGCAGAATAATTTCCATGGTGAAGAGAAACCCCTTCACAACAGCCAACCAAGTGAACAACACTCGATATCCAAGTCTACCATAGAGAGAAGACTGCATGAAAGTAAATACAGAGGGTTCACTGCAGGGTGCAAGTCACTGAAACCAAGATCAAGAAAAAAGTCAAGAGAAGACGTGGAACCGCTCATGATCCAGAGCACATCATCTGTAAAACACGGCAGAGGCTGTGTGATGGTGTGGGCGTGCACGGCTGCCAGTGGCACTGAGACACTAGTGTTTTTTGATGATGTGACTCAGGACAGAAGCAGCTGAATGACCTCTGAGGTGTTCAGAGACAGACTGTCTGCTCACATGCAGCTAAATACAGTCAAACTGGGCCTCATTTCATAATAAAGATGGAGAACGACCCAAACCAGCAAAGCAAGTTTATTAAAGCAAGGACGTGGAATATTCTTGAATGACCAAGTCCGTCACCTGATCTTAACCCAACAGAGCATAAAGTCACCGTTACGCTGAGCTCTGCACGCTCTCCTCGCCGTAAACTCAACTTTGTTCTTAGAAAACCTTTCAGCTCCTCTGTGAGGTGACATCATGAACAATTTGGCTCACAAACATATAACACGAAGAACTAACATTCCTAACATGTGACCAGCCGGGAACAGAATCTATAACATGACACAGAATTCACTTTAAAAACTATTTGTGTTTGCAGCTCAGTTTGACTTCATTCACAGACATCACCGACACATGTAAAGGCCTCAAACAGCTTATTGTGTCAGAAGTTTGATTTATTTCCGTGTTTCTTTATTTCAGTTTGTTTCCAGTAAGCAACATTTCCACACCTAAAACTGCAGATTCTGATTTGCTGAAGCACGAGCAGTGCAGCGGGGAGGCTTCTTCTCGTTTCGCCGGTTCAAAGCACAAAGTACATCGCTTACAAAGGAGGGCACGGTTTGTTCTTTTTTAGCATCTCAAACTTTTGGTGTTTGTTCTGAAAAGAAACCATCACATTTCCGCCTTTGCGTTATTCCAACACGCAGCATGCAGGTACGTGTGTCTCATTCTTCTCAAAGTATGAAACTTGCTTTTGTACAATAGACGAGCAGTAAACATGCAGACTGGCAGTGTTGAGCTGCCATCTAGTGGCTTTCTGGAAACATGTTTTTCTTAAAAGCCAAAGCTTTTACGAAAAACATGTTTCACATTTTTCCCTTTTGTGTTTCCACTGGCTTCTCTCCGGGAGGCACACTGGGCACGGCTTGTGGTGCATTTGCCCACGGCAGGTTTATAATAGTTTGAGCCCTTAAGTTTTCTACAAAGACACTAAGACATTGGTATGAAGTTAAACATCAGTGGGAAACTTTCAGCTGCTGAGGGTTACACTTTCTCAGGGGCATCCGCTTCTGATCTGGGACAGGAAGTCACTGTTTTTGTTTTTTCAGCACTGAGGCTTGTAAACAGCTTTGAAGGGCAGGTTTAAATGAGCAGCGAGCCTCCTTGTGTCAAACAGCCAGTTTAAACAGGCGGTGATCTGCTGAAAAGGCCTGCCAGGCTTTTTTAACCTGGCCTGTGACGTACATGAGATGAAACAGGATCTAATATTAAACCTTAAAAACTAGCTGCTGTAGACCTATTCTGCTCATGCCTGCTCCATTTATATTGCTGGTCTGAAATGGAATAGCTTTGCATGCCTTTTGTTCACCAGTGCAGTGCTGGTGCTGGAACGCAATCCCAAAACCAAAACAAAAAGTCTGCAGCAGTAACTAGCACCACCACAGCACAGGGCAAACAGCTGCAGAAGCTGCAGTTCCAGCAGTGAGTCGGTCCCCGTAGACTCTACAGTAAACGTTACAGCAGAAATAAACATTTTTACAGCCTGACACAAAAACAGGATTTGGCCTCTGAGGCGGAGGATGATGGCTTCATCTGGGGCTGAAAGTTCAGGGTTTGAACGCCATCGTAGGAATGTATATATGACTGAGAAAAAGGAAAAGCAGAATATGTCCACTGCATCTTTGTCTGTAAGGTAACGTTTGCACCTTCCTGCTGCGTGTAAAGGTGAAGCTGTCGTGTTTCATGAGCTCAGAAACTTTCAGAACCGTCACAAAATCCTCTCTATTAACTCCACGTGCTGCAGGGTAAAAGGTGTTTGGACACTTTATCCGGCTGATGAACAGTGAGCTGCACGTAAGATAGACCAGCACTTATATTTGTATTTTACATTATTTTGTGGTATAAACTGATTATCATGGTTATATAAGGATGATAAACAGTTTTTATTTGGCTCCACAGTTTAGTGAACCTGCAGAGGAAACCAGTGATTTTAATGCTCACCAGCACCAACACATGGAGAGTGATGAAGTATTTCTTGATAAGCTTGTAATCATGCAGTTAGTGAATACATAGCGTATAATAGACCCTACATGTGTTCTGTGCAGACGTATACACCTATATACAGCATGACTCCCTCCCTCTGTCCAGCTTAACAAAGACCTGATGCATCCGTGCGTTCCCTCTGAAAGTCCGTCCTTCATCCTGCTGCAGAAAGTCACTTTAGAAAAAAAAAAAAAACTTTCCATGAAGATCTTTCTCCTCGCTGTGGTTCCATGTTTCCAGCTTGTGGAGAGGATGGTGAGAGGAGGAGAGGGCACACAAGAGGACGAGCAACTCCTCAAAGAAGCCGCCTTGAACGTTTCCCCAAACTGAAGATTTAAAAAAAGAAAGAAAACTGTAAGTCACTGACAGCGAGCGATGTGAGGCAGCGAGCTCAGTTTACATCTGATAAACTACATTTAAAGCACGGGTTTCAAACATGAGGTTCAGGGGCCATAAAAAGCCCACATCATTCATCAGTGTGATGTGGCTCAGAGGTGTGCAGCAGTCCTGACTGCTCCTGATGAGGTCTGCGGGTCTGATGTGTAAACTCCACAGCTCCTCTGCAGGATTCAGGTCTGGCAAATCTGAGGGTTGGCCGGTGACAACGCCAATCATCAATAATCTACAACTGCTTGCATGACCACATGAAGCTGGCCAGTGAAGACTGTCCCGCAGGAGTAACGCACCACCCACTTCATGGTGGTACCTAACAGCATTCAGGGTGCTGTCGGCTAACAGGTGGAGGTCTGCGCGGTCCTCCCTGACCATCGCTGACCCACCCAGTCGTGACAGGTGTCGACAGCAGAAGAGTCACCGTGGCGTCTGCAGACTCTTTCGTGTCTGTTGCACGTGCTCAGTGTGAACCTGCTTCCATCTCTGAGCACACCGCAGGCCCACAGCAGTGGTGGACCTGCCAGTGCTGGTTTTCTGGACAGAGCTGTGCTGTGAGCACAGGATCAGGTGTTCTTACAGCATAAAATCTGAAGTATTAATGTCATGTAGTGCTCTCTAAATGTTCCTCGAGATGTTATTATGTTATTTTGAAGATCTCCCGCCTGAGTGCAGCCATCTAACGAGAGGCGCTTGTAAAGCCTGGGGTCACCAGACTGATTCAAAACACATAATTACTGGAATATTTCAGTTTCATTATTAATTTATGTAAAAGTAAAATCAGAATTCAGTAAAATGATGAGAAAAGTAAAGCAAGACCTGACCCACAGTGAGCTTTGCTGCAAATGCATGACTTATATGTTGACATGAAAATTACTTACACATGTGTTCTTATGTGTCTGCGTGATTCTTGGATGTAATCTGACTACTGCATGACCTCCTAACCCGCCCTTTTTGCATCTTCTTAAAATGAAAAAGCAAACAAAAGAAACTAAATATGGAATTTCACGGTGATCGAGACCTACCCGTGCTATTCTGCCACTTGTGCACCTGCACGATTATCTTTACTTTCCGATGCTATAGCTAAATACTCCTCCCTGGAAGAAAGCGAGAAGGAAAAAGGAGAGAAACAAGAATCAGAAGATGTCAGCTCAGTGAGAGGAAAAGGAAAATGTCATGTTGAAAACAGCAGATTGAAACAGTAGGATGGAAAAACGAGGTCGGAAGGTGAAGACAGCCCGGCGGGATTTTGGAAACAAAGTCCTGCTACTGCTCGTGTGCTTTAGGCGGTACTCACGCGCTCTCTCTCAGAGCTTCCTCTCCTGCAGCCGAGATCTTCCTGTAGCAGTAAATCATCTCAACCAAGAGCCAGAACTGCAGCCCGATGATGGAGACGTACATCATCACCTCAGACAGGATGGACGCCATTCCCCGGGTAACTACAGACACGCACAGGGTTAATTTGGGTGTTTATGCAATACGAGTTTTACAAAGATGCGACTCCTGGATTTAAAATCATCATTTCCTGAACTTCACATGGTTCAAAAATCTTCAATTGTCTTGATTCGATCTTAGTTCATCCTCCCTCTGAAACAAGCTGTTTTAACTCCACCTGACCCTCTATGACATCATAAAGATCCAAGAGAAGGAAAAAAGTGTCTGAAAATGAGTGTTTAACTCATAATCTTTCTTTTACTTAAGCATAGACTGACCTCATTACTGAGAGGAGACCCCCAGGCCGAATCAGGACCCCGGAGAGCTCATGTTAGGAAGGGAATTTATAAAGGATGCGCTTAACCTGTAAAGCCAAGTGCATCATCATCTTCTACATCATCAATATCATTTTTTTAAAATTAGATTACATGATGCAATTTGAGTGATAAATAAATCAGTAAGAAATAGAATCTAATTGTTTGGTAGCACAAACAACAATAACCGTTTTCTCTGTATGGTTGCAGGTCTTTACCTACAATATGAATCACTTTGTGATGTGATGCTGCAACGTATTTTAAACCAGCGTCACGTTCAAAGCCGCTGACGTGGCTCATTTACACACAAAGTGTCCTTTGGCGGTGAACTGAGTGGTGACATCACTGAGACGGGGTGTTGCTCGCCATTTTTCAACATCCAGGGTTGCTGTTTTGGAAGGGTGTGCTGCTCTCTCCCAGAGGAGGAAAGTGACGAATAATCTGTTAAATACTAGTTTGCTTAAAAAGATGCACCAACAGAGTGTTGTACTGACACCCGATACAGCACACAGACAGATGTCTGTGTGCTGTGTCGGGTTTACTACACGCCAAGTGATCGTATCTGCCGGATAATGGCATTTAACACCGCCAGCATGTCCAGTTCAGTAACTCTGGTTAGTGTGAGAAAGGAGGCCCATCTCAGAACTCATGTAAAAATTAGTAAACCAGAACAGGAAGTATGAGTCAGTTTTGAGTTCAGTGCTTACGCCGTGCAACCACATTAATGGTGATGTTCTTCTCTATGGTCTTTTCGTAGTCGTAGTTGCTGTATTTGAGGGTCCGGCTAAATTTGCATTTGTAGGTTCCAGTGTCATTGTAGGTCACGTTGAGGATGTAGATGGAGCCATCCTGCAGGTCCGTGGTATGCTTGCTGCCGTTCCAGGCCAGACGCTCATAGAAACGTGGGTCAATGATCTCGCCGCGTGCATCCTCATAAATGTACAGCTGGAAGAGGAGGCGGAGGAGGGAAAGACATCATTTTACACTTCTTGTGTGTTTCTCTACCTGTTCTTGGATTGGATTGACGTTCTTTGTTGTGAAATCATATTTATTTACAGGCTTCACATGAAATCACTCTAATCATTTCATTACACAGAAGACTCTCTGCATTTTAAAGGTTTTGGTTTTCGGAGCTATATTTGAAAGGAGAGTGTAGAGTGCTGCTCTGGCCATCGCCCAACACAAGCCTGATTAGAAAACTGCATCCATAAACTACACAGGTGCAACCTGGGTGTCATCTGCATAGCAGTGTAAATGTATGCTATGTCTTCTAATGATACTGCCTAAGAGAAGCATGTATAATGTAAAGAGAATTGGTCCTAGCACTGAACCCTGTGGAACTCCATAACGCTCGAACGCTCACTGAGGAGGACAAGCACAGAGATGAGTCCACTGTCAGAGGCCATAAGAAGATCATTTGTAACCTTCACTGAAGCTGTTTCTGTGCTGTGATGAGCTCTGAAACCTGACTGAAACTCTTCAAATAAGCCTCTGCAGATGATCTCAGTCCAATCTTTCATATGTGTTGATGCATGTTCAATCATCCAGGTAAGGAAGTCCCAGAAAGTGGATTCTGTTCATCTGGACGTCATAAGTGGGAGAAACGTTTCATCCAGGTGACTTCTTCAGTCTAACTGCAGGTTTCCAATCTTATAAACAGGACATTTGCACAATGACTGAAACCAGCACCACTGAATGAACAATGGGCTGGGAGGTCAGTTCCTTTAATATGCAAATTGTCATGACCACTGATCAATAACCATGAGTCCCATTCACAGAGAGTTGGGGAATGGCTGCAATCACAGCATTGCAAGATGGTGACAGATGGACCCTTAGGCCCCTCCTCGGTTCAGAGATGGTCTTTCCCTTTTCACGTAAATGGCCTCCTTGGCTCCGCCCTCAAACCAGCGTTCCTCCTTGTCCAGGATGTTACATCCTCATCATTGAAAGAGCGTCCACTGGCCTGTAGGTGTAAATAGTCTGCAGAGTCCTGGCCTGACGAGGTGGCTCTTAGGCTGTTTGATGAATAAATCGTCCTCCTGCATTCACACCATCTTCCAATGCTGCGAGCGCAGCCATCCCCCAACTCTCTGTGAATGCTGCTCAGAGCCATTGATCAGTGACTCATGCATGTTTAAAGAAACAGACATCTGGTCTCCACATCTCTTCCCGATATTGACTGAGCTGCAGCCTACATCTCATATCTGCACTTGCTGGTGAATTAATGGATGCTGAAACTAAAAGGCAGCTCAAGGCTAATGGGATCTTTCCCGCTGCATGCATGAGGCGTAATGGCCTTTTGCTGTGCCTGGTTGTGTCTCCTTAAGTAAGTAGGTTTTCAGCACAGACTGAAAAATATCTTCTGTCATGGAAAATGCATCTCTCTGCTCTGCCTCATGATAAATGCATTGGCATCCTTTTCCCAGAAGAGAAGAGGCTGCTGTGATGACGTGTGTTGAGACATCCAACCTCTAGCTTCAGAACATTTTACTATATTTCTGGCTAAATAAATTTCACCACTGCTATTTTAGGGGTATGCAAGCATAACTGACAGGATTTGGTCCCTGCTTGAAGAGCACCTACAGCTCATCCAACCATCTGATAAATAATATGACTGCTGTGGGCCTAAATGTGCTAACACACCATCCAAGAAGTGAAAGCACTGAATAGGCAGTATGTACATGCCACACATTTCACCTCCGCAGTTCATGGATGCAGCTTGTTAACCAAACACCAACCAAAAGCTGAGGCTTCAGAAACCGTGAATGACGTCAGCTTCCTTGTATATTCTGTGCTAAAGTCTTACGTCTGAGAAGTCGCTGTCGCCTGAGCCTTTGAAGGACCATTTGACGGTGGCCGTGGCATCCACCTCGCCTCTCATCTTACAGTAGATGCAGCCCAGCTTGAAGCCGTCGCTGATAACAGCCTCTGTGTCCGAGTCCACTTCCACGCAGGCCCCGTGGCACAGCGGAGCTGCAGAGTGAGGGAGACGCAGTTAGTTTCTGTCTCTCGGCCTGTTTGCGGGTCACGGGGTCAGAGGCAAGTGCGGTGAGTGGCCGTCTTCCTCTCTGTCATGTGCCCGTGACTCGAGGGAAAGGCTGAATTTGGTGTTTTCTCTCAGTACTTGCAGGCAAACTGTCTAAACTGTACTCGAGAAAACAATGCTAGCTACGTGACTTTTACGTGCTTGGTCCCAATGCTCATTACATGCAAGTTTTTTGTATCGGGCATATCTTTTTTCTTGCAATTTTTTATTTCCCCTCATTGTTTCAGCTCATAGATGGATTAGATTTGGTAAGTTTGGGTTCTCTGTTTGGCGTCATTTTCACTTCTGGTGTTTTTAACTGAAGCTGGGGGGAAATAAAGAGGTTGCAGTGAGCGATACCATTGTCTTGCATTCTGGCCACTGCTAACTGAGCTAAATTCATATATAGAAGCGTGAGTCTATATATGCCATCATCATCATGACACATACTTCTCATCGGCCAGGAGTTACACACCTGCAACTCCAAATGTTTCTGTCTCACACTGCACCTTGCAGTTTCCACTGCGGCCTCAGCATCGCTCTCAACCAATGATCTTGTGCTATTCTCAACTCTCACCTCTGGGAAGCGTTTGATTTGAATCGTAAGATGGTGGGGAGGGGAATGAGGGAGAGGACAGAAACACACAGCACACAACGCTGATCAGAAAAACCATTAAACAGCAGCCGCACGTCGTCCGTGAGCACGCAAAAACGCCGCTCTGTTCCTTTACTTCCTGGGACGTTTAAAAGAAACACGCAATCGAAAAGCCACCACACGGAGGGACGTGGAAGGGGAGACATGAAAGAGGGAAGAAAGAGAAGGTTAGCACAGGTATCAGTCGTTAACAGCCATTTCTACAGGAAAAGCACGGGAGACGGGGAAGCAGGAGAGGAGAGGGGTCAATGCTGTATGATGCACTGCAGAGAGGAAAAAAGGGGAGGAAGGAGGAGAAGAGAGAGTTAAAAACACAATTTAAGGCTTCACAAATATAAACCCAAACACTACTGAGCCGACAGCTGTCGCATTAGAAGAAGAGACTGAAGCAGACCACAAACCCCCCAGATGGACCCGAGAACACCCGAACCCGAGCCAGAGGGCAATGATTGCAGAGGACTTGGAGAGCAGGGATGAGTGATTACACGAGTGCCTGGGGGAAAGCCACATTCAAACAAGCTGTATTTCATTTTGGGCAGAAAGCGCGTCCTGATGAGCGAGCTCAGAGAGAGCGGCAGCTGTCAGTCCGGACGCCTGGTTCACTCGTCACGATGTCAGAAGATTTGTTGAACTGGATTTTAGTTCAACGCCTGGTAGCTGTGAGCCGATTTTATTAGAGTTTGTGTTGTAAACTCATAATTTATGAATGCTCATAATTCAGAGCTCCACCCTCTTATCCAAACAAGTATGCACGCTTTTGGCATCCCCCCCAAATTATAGTGTGGCAGACCAGTAGGGGGCTCCACTCACACCCAGCGAGAAGGGAAGGGGTAATGTTTTTGGGTTGTAGGAGGTGTTTGCCGCCTTGTGAGTTCGGTTGGTTGAAGCCGAGATTAAAGTTGGAGTAAAACGTGGCGAGCTCTCGTGTCGTCCTTACGTATCTCCACAATGGTGCCCGTGTCTACTTTTAATAAACAGTTTATAACACTTTAAATATACAGTCTTTTCCCCATGGGTGTGTTTGGGTGAACTCGTTTACCACCATTCGCTGTCACTTGCTCGAGTCTCGGCACCTTCTTCTCATATGTTATTATAAACATCTGAAACAGTTGAATCATGACTTTGCTCTAAAGCGCGGGAGCTCGGGTAAGCTCGGGGTTTGGAGGTTTTCTGGGAGGCGAGCCTGCTGAACACCAAACAGGCCTGAGGCAAACACCGTCTGCACACACCGCTCAGAGGACAGAAGAAAACACAAGGCTGCTGCTTTATTTGATTTTTTTCCCCTTTCAGATTCATATCTGCTGTAATTGGCTCTCGTCTCTGTTACAAATGCGATCTGATTGTTTGCGTTAATTGCACGCTGCTGTAAGCTGCACCAGCTGTCAGCGCCGCGGCTAATCCTCGCCACCAATAGAGGTCGATGAGAGTCAGTCATCAGTTAATGCCCCTGTGAAATCCCACAGGGGGAGCATCTGCAAATCAAACGATAGCCATTTCTCTCTACAAAGAGGTTCCACCAAGTTTCCAGCTGAGCATTAATGTGCAACAACATTTTGACTCAGGTCTGTGTACTGCTGACTTTACCTGATACAGATTCTACCATGAAAAGCAAAGAAAGGAAACAGGAAGGCAGTAAAGGAAGAGGACGTGCAGAGACACATAGAAGGGTTTGACATGAGACCTGGAATACAGACAGTAGAGACACATTAAAACAGGAACTAACCACAGCAGAGATCAGAGGAGGATAGAAGAGAGCGCTCTGGCTGCAGAGCCACTCCCTGAGCCTGGTTCTGCTGGAGGTTTCTTCCTTTTAAAAGGGAGTTTTTCATTCCCACTGTTGCCAAAGTGCTGCTCATAGGGGCTCATATGATTGTTGGGCCCCTTGGGGCAACTGTTGTTGTGATTTGGTGCTATATAAATAAAACTGAATTGAACTGCAGAAGTTAGTCTAATATTTGCAGGTCAACCCACTGCACTCATGTTGTCACAGATTAGCACAACATGAACAGCTTAACGTTCATAAATCTAATTCAACAAACATGTGATGCAGAATATTTTAACCAACGTTTGTAATCTTTGCTGCTGCAAACCTCACCACACCCACTGACCTGATGACATCAGACACACACGTTCATGTTGAAACAGAAATGAGTGCCATGAAATTATTCCATCAATGCATGTTAATCAGAAACTCCATAACAGGAGAAAATGTCACAGGAACTCAAAATACTTTCCCCCCCTTGTTTGATATTAAGTTTACGCAACATATTCTGTGTAATTACTTTATGCATTCAGGTTTACAGTGCAGATGTAAATCCAGCTGCACACACACAGAGACAGCATGAGGCTCTGATCCTGAGGGAGGGAGGCTGGTGACGCAGTCAGAGGCCACACTGTGCAAGGTGAGCAAGCATGTTGCTGACTGTCCAAAGCTGAGGCAGCGAAAAGGCAGCGAGACGAACATGCAAGCAGACACAAAGAGGAGCTCACATCCAAAGTGCAGACTAGACAGTCAGCAGAGTCCCTGAGCAACGATTCCTCAGAGCAGCAGCCGCAGCAGTGCACAAACACAGAGCATCAAAAGTGCAAATCCATTGCGTAATCTGCAGACGGAGGTTCAGGATTATGCAACGGATATTCCAGAAAATGCCGATTAGGAGATTTCTTTTTTCCCCCCAACAGGCTGGTTAATCTCTCATTTCAGTTGCCGTTTGCCTCCTGAGGACTACAAAGTGACTACAAAAGACTACCCAGTGAGGTGAGCTAGCTTAGCATGTCACAGGAGGCTAAAGAAAATACAGAAAGGATCGAGATTATTTGCTGAACTGGGCACAAGAGGAAGAAAAGAGAATTGGATAAGCGACAGGAAAAGAGATGAGTGAGGACGACATCTGTTTCCATGGCCGGGTTACCAACACCCACAGACACCGTGGGCATATATGACCCGGGTTTAATGCCAAGCATCCGTGACATTTCCCCCGACACAGAGCCGGTGAGGGACTTTCTACTGGAACAAGGGAAACAAAAAGACACACAGCTCCGAGAGCTTCGCTTTCGTTTTACTCCACAAAGATGCCACTTGATGGCACAGACGCAGGGCTTTACTTCATGTGTTTTCCTCTGCAAGAGCAGAGTCTGTCCTGGACTTGGGGTGACCCGGAGGTCTCAGAGTTTGGCTGCACATCACTTTTCCCCCATTTCCAAAATCTAAATGAAACTGCTCAAAATATTACAGATAATTTCCCTTTCATAACAACTGTACTGGAGTTCATTCATTCAACTCGACCAACTGGATTTTCTTAATGTGAAAATAAGAGGTCAGGGTTAAAAAGGAACAAATAAATAAACACTGAAAAGAACACAGTGGAAAACGTTAAACTAAAAATAATGCAAAAATAAAATAATACAAAAAATAGACACAAAATAAATATAAATGTTGTATTTATTGATGTTCAGTTGTAGCACTGTTAGTAATATGAATTATATTATTGGCACATTTGACAATATTTCATTTATTTATTGGCAGTATTAGGCCTCCATACACACAGTCAGTGTTGGAAAGGTTACTTTTTAAAATGTATTCCACTACAGATTACAGATTACATGCCACAAATTGTATTTTGTAACGTATTCTGTTACGTTACTCAATGAGAGTAACGTATTCTGGATACTTTGGATTACTTAATATATTATCATGCTTTTTACAACTACATGAATGCGCTATTGCTGAATGATTTATTACTATTACTGAAGGTTACTCTCCACACCAACACCAACTAGATGTTTAAATCTTAATATAAATGAGTAACAGTAGGTGGACATTAGGTAAGGCTGCACTTTTTGCATCGATCTCGTATAGAAAACTATTCCGCGCGTATATAAAACAGGTCCGCGGCTCCGAACCGTAGTAAAGGGACCTCTGAATAATAGGGCTGCCACAAACCATCCATTGGACGTAAAACGTACAGCTTATTGCACCAGCAGCATCTGCTCTTATATAACTATCATTAGCTTACAGCTTTAAGTGTTTACGGTGCTAACTAAAAATAAAGACAAGATGATAGTTTATTAAATTTTAATGAAATTTGCAGATTGTTTCGGTGAAGTTTAATAAACTCCTTGCTATCTAAAATATAACAGGACACCGGAGTATATTCTCCAGCATCTCACACTTCTGATAATCAGCTGTCTGCTTGACGTTTATTCAGCTGTGTAAAAACTATAACTTTAGTCTCAGCCAAACCGATTTACTCAGGAACAAATAAAATACTGAAAAAAGCCAAACAATAACAT